CTATTCGTGAAAGCTTGTTGCATCGCCGCAATTACCTGACGGATGGCCGTAGGTGGCTCCTTGTCATCCTCTATCATTTGCGCTCGGACATCTGCGCTGCCTTTCACGATTAACCCCAGTGTGGCCACGGTGGTATTCAAGACTTAGTCTCACCTCCGTCTAAGATACTACTGGCGCGGCATGTATCGGCACGTTTGCCAGTACGTTCGATCACGTGCCACGTGTCAACGCCGCAAGACGCCTTCTCACATCACTTCTGGCCCTTTGCGATTCTTAACTTGCCCAGCGAGACCATTCCACCACGTCAGAATTCATATTTATGGTCTTCTACCCAACACTCTTCGTGGCAAACAGTGGATTACCATCGCAATCGATCATATGACATGCTACGCTGAAACATCTGCGCTGCCTGCTACCACTGCAAAAGACGTTGCTTCCTTTCTTCTTCACCATCTGATTTTGCGACAAGGTGCACCTCGTGAATTACTGAGTGACCACGAATGCGTGTTTCTTTCGAACGCAGTCGACGAGCTGCTCAAGGAATGTCGTGTTGTCTATCGAAAAACCTCGACATACCATCCTCAAACCAATGGCATGACAGAACGCTTTAATTGTACCCTTAGAAATATGCTTGCCATGTATGCGTCGGACGACGACGCTAATTGGGACCAAGTGCTCCCTTTTGTCACATATGCGTACAACTCTGCACCACAAACAACCACGAGCTTCTCTACTTTCTTCCTCCTGTACGGACGCGAACCATCATGCTTCAAGGACATCATTTTCCCTTACAGACCCGATGTTCCCGAAGCGACGCCTGTTTCCGAAGCAGCTGCTTATGCCGAATAGTGTCGTGAACTTGCTCGCTCGTTTACCGCGCAAGATTAACGGCGCCAGAAAACTGACCACGATGCTTCTGCATCTAGTGCCCACTATAACCCAGGAATGTTGGTTTGACTCTGGGTCCCCTGTACCCCTCCCAGTCTTTCCCCAAGGCTTTCGTCTAAATACCATTGTCCCTATCGTGTGGTGCGAGAAACATCCCCGGCCAACTATGAAGTTAAGCCCATTGATCCACCTTCAGACCAACGTTGCCATGGGCTTGAAACAGTTCACGTATCACACCCCAAACCGTGCTATGACACCCCCCCCCCCCCCCTCTTTCTGCACGGATAGTAATTGTACCGCAGCATAGTGGCACCAGCTCTGTGCCAGCGTGAAAGAAGGCGTTGACGTCCGTGTGGCTCGTGATTACCGGGCTCCTGCCTGAACCAGCTAGTTGCGGCTAATGCTTCTTCAATAATAACAAGTGTTTATACATGAACTCCCTCGTTGCAGTACCTTTTCCTAACTTTGCAATACCAAACCACCAATCAACAGAGAATAATAAATATGCTGTAGCAAGACAGCGAGACAGGTAAATTGGTTTTGATTCATCCTAGTTTGGGTAACGACGGAACTCCACAAAACAGACACTTATTATGCTGTAAAGTTGCAATGTTACCCAAAGTGCAGCCCATCAAATTATACTAAGCCGCAATAAGAGGCTATCTGTGCTTGTTAACAAGAGAATTAGAAGGCCAGAGGGCCACAATGCTAGTTATCTTGTTAATCTGAAGCTTGACTTTAGCAAACAGAAAGCAAGCAGTAATTCTGAGTCGACCACCCATGCCAGCTTAGGCACGATTAAATGTTCGTCATATTGCCAGAGGTTATAATCATTCTAGTGCTGACACATCATTTAGAAGGGCACTGGCCGATAAACCAAACACCTAGCGCCAGGTTAGGTGGAATGTTCGCATATGTAAAGGTGCACCTGAGACACTTTTGTGCAAGATAATCATCAGTGCTGGTTCACTGAAATAATCTAGTGATTACAGAGCCATTGAATGGCAAGATGTAGTTGCGCAAATAGTGGACATAGGAAGCGATAGAAAACACTGATGTAGCCAGCAATATGCTGAATACAAAACCTGCCCCCAAACATGCAAGCATACAAACTGGCTTAATATATGATCACATAACTTCACAGGGACAAGCATTTCAAATATGATGAATCATCAACTCGTCAAATCAGCCATTCTGACCAACTGGCTTTAAGAAACAATGTTGATAATGCCTTCAGAAAGTGAAAGCTACAGCAGCATGCTTAATATGCATGAATTATGTCCCTTAGGTTGCTCATACTCCAAATCACAAGAGTCCAATAGTGGTGGCGGTGGTTTCGGTATCACCTTTGTACGGGGTCACGGTGAGAGTAATGTGGACATAATAAACAGTGGTAGGCGTATCGACCTGAGGGCAAGGTAGGTGCAGGCCCCACCTTTGAAAAAAGACATTGCCCCCCCCTCCCCCTCTCACTTTTTACAGCAGTCATATTCGTCTTCACACTGAGAAACCATCAAATGAGGCATAGTTTCACTTCTGCACAGCCAATCAGTTAATTATCCCATAAAACTTGTCCTGTACTTCTGCTATAAAGATTGTTTTCCATTCCTTTGGTCTCGCACTTTATGCTACAGCAATGCAGAAAAGGCTATCCTAAGTAAGGGCTCTATAACATAAGAGCACTCAGTCATGACATTATTATGCTCTGCCTGGCCTCAAAATTACCTATTCAATGACACAAATATGGGCAGGAACCAGTAAACATTTTATAGGCCAATCAAATGCTCTTCGAGTTCCAGGAAGTTCATTTTTCTTCTATCTGAAAGGAATAGCATTACCACTGCTCTAATGAGCCAATGGGTGTTTCAGTTGGGCCGTACAGGAGGAGCTAAAGAGGGTGCTCGCTCTCGTTGCTTATTAACCTGCTTAGCCTTGTTTATCATATAGTAGCTTGCAGCACTCATGGTGGCTTGGACCAAGGCGAGGAATAAGGCAGAGGACTCTAGTACATTGGGCAGTCTCGCTTTCAAGCTTGTCGTGAAATTTGATCTACCGGTCCAGGAAAAACGATCAAGATGCAAGGGTTTCCAGACTAAGTAGACTGACTTGACAACTAGGCTAGCAGAACTCGGAAGGTAAAGAAACGCAGACGTGCAGGGCTGTGTATTTTATCGCTCCCTCACTAAGCAAGAATGAGCTCATAGAGTTGTAAGCACACACAAACAGCTCAACATCATTATGCCATAGCTGAGAGTATTTGTTATATTCGTATGAGTCGATCATCCCAGCAGCTATGACTGCCTGCTGTGAATGCGATGGGCGGGCACCCTTGAATTACACTCAGAATGTTTATGAACTGTTCAGTATAGTGATGCGCTGTTTCCTGTGCAAACATCATTCTAACAACAGGAGGTTTCACAGACATCACGTAAAAAGCACACCATTTTATGACCACCAAAATGTTTGACGACTTGTGGGCAACCCAATGCCAAAAATATGCCGAAGGGAAAATAATGTTTTCTATAACTATTTATGTGGTGGTCAGTAAGTAATAGAACATTTTTGGGTAATTTGTTCTTGGTATTACATGCAGGTGCTGTTTTCATGAATAATAAAATTTTGACTAGACAGTTTCCAAAAGTTAACTAGAGTGTACTATGGCACTGCAGTCGTTTAGCAACCATGAAAATAACGGGTAGTACACAGATTCACCGAGTCTTCGTGCCACATGGGCTTCGAATGCACCCATTGATTAGCTTAGTGTTGTTTTGAATAAAAGAAAAGACCACTGGGAACTTTGTGAGTCCATTTGAAATGGTGAGCATCAAAAGTCGGAATGGTGAAGCGCAACTGCTTAACATTTGCTAAACTCTGTCTTGTGGCAAAGTGGATTCAGGCCACACGGAGACAAAAGAGTGGAGTTTAGACAAATCCGTGTACTACCCATCATTTTTATGCTGGCTGCAACAGTGCGTTGCAATGCGGTGCATTGCAGACACTAGCACCAGCGTTCTCTCTAGTGTATTTATAGGGACCTCTATGTCTCACTCATCAACAAGTTAGTACGCCACTGTTAGTAGGACGAGGGTGTGACTAAATTATCGTATCTGCCTTACTTAGCGGCCCTCCAAACTGCACGTTACATGCAAAAGAGGCACATGACAGTGACGAAGCATTTCTAACTATCCTGTATGCACTTCAACAGTATGTATTCCCTCCTAGAGCTACCAAGCAAATGAATAACCTTGTTTTTCTTTACTATTCATGGTCCTGTTTGCACCATGTAACCATCCACAACAGCAGTGTGCAGAAAAGGTGACAGTATAGTGCTCCTGGTTAGGTCTGGTGTTGAACACCTCAGAAAAGTCCAGCTACGCCCACTGCAGGTATTGCACATGCGCTACTGCACAATCTAGTTTCCTACACACTGCTTGGCTGTGAGAACTGAAGGAATGTAAAGTTGAGTATTGGTACACGACCTCCATGCACGATAGAACCATACCATCCCCCAAGAAAGACCAAAAATATGTCTTTAGACGTAGATTTATCGCCGCGTACTAAGACACGTTCTTGTTCATCCTTGACTACATAACAAATTAGCAAATGACGCTAGTTTGATGCCGAATTATTTTGGAGTGTCAATTAAAACCGTTAAATATATTGAGAGAAAAAAATGTGATCAGAAAGAAACATCGAGGTCGGATTTGATGAGGAACCATCCTAAAACAATTGAATGAAACCTGGAAGCACATGAGCATGGTAATGAGGTCATTGCCAAGGCGGATGAACACCATATGCGTACTCAAACACGTCACGAAATGAGTAAAAGATGAGTTATCGAGGCATCACCGAATAGATGTGAATTCCAAAGAGTGACGTGGGCTTACCATCAGCAATCGCAGGAAATCGCCGCGTTGACGCGTCGCTTATCAGTTTATGCATTGCATTCGTATTAAAAGTCATTTCTCCACCTTGCAGACGCTTCGAACAGTCATTTCGATCAAAAAACCAGAATACTTAAACACAAAGAAGGCTCTATTCGTGGAAAAAAGTATACCGTACTGCAGATGTTTCAAATGTTACTTCATAACCAGTTGACAAAGTGTGCTTACCGATTAAATAGACCAGCCCCCAGGAATTAGGGCTGCAAACAGGGTGGTCAGGGACGCAATAGATAATACTTCTTTTTAACTAACTATTATCACAATTACGTAAACCTAATTAAAACCAATTAGATAAAACATTGACGACGATCCCCCGATGCGCCGGCACCACAACGAAACTTGCATGCGTGTCGCCATGACACGATGCACAACAAAGAAAAAACGTTCCCCCAAAATGTACAAAAGTACCAGATAAATATTTCGTACTAAATAAGAACGTTTAATTTGAAGTAAACAGTTGATTTGCAGCAGTGAATTGGAAGATAGTCAATATTAAGCGCGTGCGGCCAATCGCGTTGTGACAAGACGCTTCACGTGACCTTAAGGACAGACGGCACGCGCTGCGGACGAGAGTAAGCGGATCACGCCACCTCAAAAACGCGCGTTCAAGGGTGGCCGGTGTGCGGTTGTTGATTGTCAGTGATTCGCAGTGTGCTCTTTCGTGCGGGTGCATCAGTGAACGGCTTGCCTGGCTACTTCGTACACTGGAACATTGTCAGCGGACGTCAACGCATCGCAGAGCCGGAAACGGTAGGCGACTCCTCCCTGTATCCGTCTGACTCGACCCGTGTGCGTGTGCGAGACTGTGCTTTGATTGCTCATTCATTCTCATTCATTTTTGTCGCGCCTTCGTTGCGGCCTCGTTTAGATTTTGAGACGTTCATACGCCCTAAGCGAAACCTGAAAGCACCACTCCAAGGGGTGACCGGCGAGACTGTTAAAAGTGGTTTCGTTGCGACGCTTTTCTAATTTCCTGCGGGGACGCATCGCGTCCTGTAAGAAAGGCCACTTTCGTGAACTTTTGCCGCAAGCGCGTCTTCGCGTGCGGATCGCGACGATACATCGGACCGGTGAGTTTATACGATTGTTGTTCCACACTTTTCGCGAATAAGTGCGTCGCAGATGGGTGGTCTCTTTTCGTTTTTTTTTTTCGAGGACCCGTGCGCACGAGCCATGCTCTCGGTTGCGCCCCTCTTCGATCGGTTTTCTTTTCGGCAGTGAGGGGGGGGGGGGCGCGGCCAAAACAGATGACGTCACACTGTGGGGTGATCCGACCGAAAGTTTGCGTCATCAAAACGGTTCTGCAGCGTGGCGGCGACGCTGTGTGCAAATTTCGGCATCTGTGTGGGCTGGTCCGCGCGCCCGTAGAGTTTGTTAAGCATTGTAGCAAACTGTGCCTGTGCTGCCGACGTTGTGTAGCAGGACGCGGGTGGCATCATTCTAAAACGCCAGCCGTAGGTAGCTGCAGTATATTATGTTCGCGTGCCTTGTGATTCTCGCCGCCTTTGCTGCTGTAGGGATGGTGTTTTGATCTTTCCAAGTGCAAATGGTTGGAGACGCGTGCAGCGCGAGGCACGGTGCCAATTTCTCGAAACGAACCCAGTAGCGGGCGACGTCTGTGTTGTGCCGCTGGCAGGATTTCGACTTGGTGGCGGGCGAGATGATATTGTCCTTGCCCTTCGTTTCCGCGTGCCTATTGCGGGACGCTGTGTGGCTGCGCCGATTTCCATTGGTGGCTGCCCCATTGATCGCGAATGAGCACTTGGCAAAGGATTCGTTGGTGGAGATCACATTCAAACGAGGAGTAAAGACGCTGCACGGATTCGATGCTTCCTGCGTGCGTTTTTCCGGCCTTGTTCGGAAGCAGCGTTCATATTCGAACGTACGCGGTCGCTAACACGTTGAACTTCCCGATTTGTTGCGATCGTTAGCGTACTCCCCGCTGTTTCCGCGTCGCCACGTGTTCCGTTCGCGGCGTTGTTTGAAAAGCCGGCATCTACGGCGTCGCGTTATCTGCACACGTGGTGCGTCTCCCGTATCGCCGCGCGTCGTTGGAGGTGTCGTCTTTTGTGGTTTTTGACGCAGTGACGTTGACTTGTGTCGGTTGCGCTAAGCTCACCGACCAACGTTTTGCGACCGTTATAACAAACGCCGTTTTATCGTCACTCGTAACGGAAAACGGCCAACACGAAACCCGAGCGTGCCACTCCCGACGACGCTGATTGCCTTGACACGGCTGGCTCACTGTGGACCCCTCCCGGCCGGTTACTCGCGTGGTTTTCCTTTATTATACCCTCGAGATCTCGGCAATGCGCGTTTTAAAAAAAATTTTGGCCCGTGCCGGCGGAAGTGCTCGTAGAAAACAAACCGCGTGGTTCCGTTCAGATGGCGGCGCTCTTCTCCTCCTCTTTCACCCGCCGAAGTTTGTCCGCGTACTTGGGGAGGTCAATGCGCCTTTCCGTGCTCTCTCTCCATCTCGTCTACCGGCTTCGTGGCTGTAGTAGTAGTAGGTCGTCCCTCGGAGGGCGCACGCTTGCGACAGGCTGCATAGAGACGACGCCCGCAGCGAATTTTGCCGAGCCTGACCTGGCTGCATCGTGTGGTGCGAGCATTCCAGCTTTGAAAGGAGAGAAAAAAAAGCCTCGCTTCGTCTGTCGTCGCGGCGCGGCTTTTAACGCTATTTTTCTGCTCACCTGTCGCGGTTTAGCCCCCGCGATCCTACGCGCTCGAAATGTAACTTTCAGTCACTCCCGCGTGCAAAATTTGGAGCGGTGGGTTAAAATCGTTTCGAAGGTGCATTCGGCGGTGTCTTGGAAGCGCGTGTCAACTCGGCCCCGCGCATCACAAGTGCATGTACTATACTTCATTCATCTACGGCCATCACGTCTCGTTTGCGAAACGGGGTCGCTTTATTTCTGGCGCTGTCGAAATCCTAGTCACTCTGCAAAGTGTGTCCATAAATACATCCAAATGTGTACACATTCTGCCCTAGGGACGTTTTTTTTTTTTTCTTCTTAGTATTGATGGCGGACAATCCAGCCGCGTAGCTTGTCGAGCAATCGCTCTTTTCTTGGCAGTCTTTCAGGTTTTCGCCGTTATATTTCGGGTGTAAAAGTGGTGGCATCGCTGCTTTTATTAATTGTTGCGCAAGTTCTCTGCGTGTCCAACGCGCCACCTCGGGTGATTCCTCGTGCTGGTCCTAGAGCCAGCCACGCTGGCCATGTGCTTCAAGGCCGTCCGCGGTGTTCCTGACGTCGTAGCTGACGTCTGCGTGCTGCGTTTGTGGATTAACCGGCGCACTTGCGCTGCGCCCCTTTTTACATGTGCGCTGCCAGCCTAGTCTACCTTACCTGCTCCGTGCGGCCGATAAGTGCCAGTTGTGTGCGCTGGGTTTTTTATCCAGGGTGCTTTTAAAGTTGAGCCGGGGCGTGTTGCTCATCACTCTCTCGTAGCCCAGTGAATGGGTAAACTATTTCTGCTCATACGTGTAACAAGAAAATGAGGAATAGTGGTCCGTTGAAGTACACAAGCGAAGGAGAAAGAGAAACAACTTCACGCTATCTTAAAGAAAAGAGGCGTCGAGAAAGCTTAGGCTCTGGAAAGACGACGAGTCTTGGGATGAAAGCCCTGCAAGCCTGACAAAACCAAATCACTCATTGGTTCGCGTCACGTCGGTTTAGCTTTCTGCCTTCTTAGGCAATGGACCCGTGTGTATGGGCGCCGAGCCGTGCCTCCACGACGGGAGGCAGAGCAGTCTCTTGATCTCCTTTTCTGAATTACTTTGTATAATTTCCATCATACAGCTCGCGGCCTATGTCGTCGTCATTTGTTTTTTTATTAATTGCTCGTCAGGTTCTGCTGAATCGGAGTACCTTTACAAAGTGAAGTAACATCATTGTCATGGAGATTTCTCATCGGAGTATTACATAACAGGGGAGGAGGCGTGATGGACAAGGCATTGATTGATTTGATTGATTGATTTGTGGGGTTTAACGTCCCAAAACCACCATATGATTATGAGGGACGCCGTAGTGGAGGGCTCGGGAAATTTCGACTACCTTGGGTTCCTTAACGTGCACCCAAATCTGAGTATACGGGCCTACAACATTTCCGCCTCCATCGGAAATGCAGCCGTTACAGCCGGGATTCGATCCCGCGACCCGCGGGTCAGCAGCCGAGTACCTTAGCCACTAGACCACCGTGGCGGGGCGTGATGGACAAGGCATCAATAGTCACTATGGTCAATCCTATACGCTGATACAGAAAAAAATATCAAACTGGGGATCAAGTTTGTATTTGTACAGTGATTTTGAAGCGCGGCATCGACGTCTGCCACCGTGCTCTCCGGTCATTTCGCATTGTGTGCGATTGTAGAGGAGCCACGGTAGTCGGTTGTCGTCGCATTTCGACGGAGGCGAGATGCCGGTGTATACTGTCGCTGCATGCTAAAACAATCAAAACGCACACTCGCGCCAGATGGTCGAAAATTCCCGCATTCTCCGCTACGGGGTGCCTCATAATCGTATCGTCGTTTTGGCCCCTAAGATCCCGTTTGCTAATTTTGCTTTGTCACCCGGTCCTCCGCCTGTACAGGGCGGCGAGTGTTCGCACTTGGAGCATATCGCCGTTTCAGAACGCATTCTTCTCGCAGGGCACGGCACGCGAACGCCACTTGCCTGTCGTCTGCTTCCTTTTTAGCCACGACTTGACAATGCGTGCGGCGGCATTCGTTATTGCTTCTCGTCGTCGATCGACGCCCATTCCTAGCACGTTCGCCGCTTCGGCAAACGAGTCGCGTCTGTAGCTAAAGGGAGAAAAATCGTGCTTGTTGAGCCCGATGGGACCATGTAATACACGTTCCATTGCAACTGCACAGGTGCTTGATATGTACCGTAGGCAGCGTAGAGAAAAAAACAAAAATGGGTGACGCGTTGCACCATCGCCGATATAACCGCTGCACGGCCGTTCGTGTGTATGTACCGTCCGAGGCTCTTTTCTACATCGACCTTGGTGTCTTTTGAGAGAGATTTCCTGTCGCGCGGCCGCTTGACGTCCGTCGCCGCCCGTGTTCGCCATCCACGTGGCTGCCACATGTGGCCGAGTGTTGGTGTCCTGATCTGTCCACGTCTGTGTTCAATTATTGTGCAGCACATGACAGGGTCACAGTTTCTTATGCTGTGGCCAAATATTGTCTTATTTTGACCCAGTATATGTAGCGCATTATTTTTTTATCCTAATAGCGGTACCTCCCCACGTTGCGGCGCAGAGACCGTGCTTACGAAGCAAATTCAAGCGAAACTCTGCACATGTACGCGACGCGCCTAAAAATGCGCCGGATATTGCTAACGGAAACGCGGAGCTTCTGCTCAAGGAGGCATGTGAGGACGTTCTGTTCGTCCTCCATTCGCATTTTATTTTAAAACTCGCGCTTGCCTTAAAACATATAGTTCCCTCCATACGCGCACCGTCAGAAGAGCGTGTCATTTGCCGTCAGAGTTATCTGCCAACACTCTCGCGCAGCGTATAATTATGCAGGCGTGCAAACTTGGCGTGTCGTGGTGGGGTCATTCCACTTCGCATATAACATTGTCGTTAATTAGCATAGTGATAGGAGGGCACCACTACTATTTAGCAGACATGCAGTATGTCATGTCACCGAGTATATCGCTGTAAAATGTCCGTAAGACACGGGGGCGTGAGGAAGTCGCCCTTCCTTCCTTCTCGATACACGGCGGTGGTTCTGTCGTCGT